TACTGGTATCCCCTCTTTACAAACTTCATGTTATGAATCATGATAACAGCATTAATTTTTTGTTCCCTTCATATATTCATTTCCTTGCTTATCACAGTTCTTCCTCAAGAATGCCACATAATAACTTAAAGCAGACAATTTGTTTTTTCTTTTTTTAAAGTACATAACTGTTCCACTTCTCCGAGAACTATGAATCATACATGCTTTGGAAAAATTACACTTACATACCTGTCCATGCAAAGCTTCAACAGGCGCATAAGCAAAATGATGTGCCAGCTTCACCTGGAAATCACTTTTGTATTTTCTTTCCATCGGTTGGCCCAATATGGACCAAATGACATGAAAATCAAAATCAAATAAGAATTCTCGTAAAAAGATTTCTCAATAAGCAAACAGAAAGATGAAAGAATTCAAGAAAAAAAGAAGAAGGCTCAACTAAGGTACCATAGAGAAGACAACACCTTAATATCAAATGTCGTCATCAAATTTAGCATGCACAAAAAGTCCAAATATCAAACAATGTTGTCCAGTGAGGTGGTCCAGCAGACTCTTAGAGATCTGTTGCCAGGGACCTCTAGGACGGAGGTGACCACCACACTGTGAACATAATACATACAAAATACATAAAAAGTATACACTAGCGGCTTTAATGTTCTACTTGTGCATTCAAATGAGATATGCCAGCAATATTTAAAGGATTTGTGCTCCCACCCAATAAAGTAAACCAGTAATTTGCAAAAACCAATGAAGAGAAAAAAAATAAACATTCCCAACTGATATCGTCATAAACAATTTACTGGTTCTAACTAGTCATCAGGACTAACAACATTGTTTCATAAGAAAAAAGTCATGACATCAATTTGCCAATTACAGTACAGCAGAAATATTCATAATCAAAATTATAGATAAGCACAATCCCATTCAAAGTAACTCACTTCTTCAGTTCCACCAGCAGGCAAAGATGTCTCAGCCACTAAAACAGCATCACATTGCATAATAAGTTGGGCCCTCCGTTGAAAAGTCTGTTACCTCCTAGCTTCTCAATGAGTAAAAATAGTGTCATTACGCCTAGGTGGTCTATCAGGAACTGAACCGGGTTTGAACTTTGAGGCCTCATGTTTCGCCAGTTCAGGAGGAACATGACTATTACTCTGAATGAGCATCTGCTTGAGATCATAAAAGACTTCGGTGTCGTGCATAGTCAAGAATGTTGTGGCCACACCAGTCTTCCCTGCACGTCCAGTACGTCCAATACGATGCGTGTACTGTTCAATATTCCCAGGCATATCATAATTAATAACATAGGCCACATCAGGTATATCAATCCCACGTCCTGCAACATCAGTTGCAACAAGGACATTGTATTTCTTGGCTCGAAAACCGTCAAGGCTAATTTCTCTCTGCTCCTGTGACTTACCCCCATGCAAAGTGGTCACACGATATCCATTCTTATCCAAACTCTTAGCGACATAGTCTGCATTCTTCTTGGTATTAACGAACACAATAGCAGTCTTATCACCAAGTTCATCAAGCAACCTCTTTAACCTCTCAAACTTCTCAGATTCCTTGCTCATGATCACATTCTGAGTGATCAAATCAGTTGTCTTTCCAGCCGTGCCAATCGTGACCACAACAGGATTCCTCAAGTACTTCCTAGCAAGCCGCTCTACAGCAGGCGGCATTGTGGCACTGAACATATAAGTGGTTCTGTAAATCTTCTTCTCATCAAGCTCTTCATCCTCATTCTCAGGTTTGAAATTGCTGGAAGGCATTGCATCTAAGACCCCTACAACCTGCGGCTCAAACCCCATATCAATCATCCTATCAGCCTCATCAAGAACAACATAATTGCACTGGTTAAGAACAGCATAACGCCTCTCCAGGCAATCAATCAAACGCCCCGGAGTGGCAATTACAACCTCACAGCCTTGCCTAATTCTAAACCCTTGCTCCTCAATCGACTGCCCACCAACAATGGAAACCACTTTGATACCCAAGAAATGCGCAAACTTGACAGTCTCATCCTCAATCTGCTGTGCAAGCTCACGAGTAGGAGCCATAACAACAGCATAAGGTCCTTCGGCCTCATTCTCCTCACTAATGGGAGGCAACCTCGAAATATAAGTCAACATAGGAAGAACAAAGGCAGCAGTCTTACCCGAACCAGTCTCAGCAATGCCAATAACATCTCGCTGTTGCAGCCCAAGTGGAATCGCCGCCATCTGAATTGGAGAAGGCTTCTTGTAACCAGCTCTCTCCACAGCCTTGAGCAACTCCTCACTCAATCTACTCTCTGCCCAACTCCTCATAGGCCTCGGAATCCTCGACCCTTTATATGAAATATTGAAATCCTCCCGAAAAATCCTCCAATCCCTCTCAGTCATCTCTTCAAGCTTCTTATCAGTCCAATGGCGATCGACCCTCATGTCGAAAGTATCGTATAATTCTGCAGCCTCCTCCTTGAGCTTCTGCGCCATGGCCTCCTCGGGCTTCTCCTCCACGCCCTCCTTCTTCCGGATCTCCTCCCTCAGCTCCCTCTCGTACTTCACAGCCAGCTTCTTCTGCTCCCTCCGGTCCATCCCAGCCCGAAACCCTCGCCCAAACAAGAGTTGGGCCTCGTGAGGGTTTTGATACAAAGCATTCATATCCCGAGAAGTGTCCTCCGTGTTCTCCCAATCGAAAGAGAACCGAAACTTCTCGCTGGGCTTGATGACCCGCTTCTTCGGCTTCTTCGATCCGAGATACTGCTCTTTAATGGCGTCCAGCTCTTTGTCTCGCTCGCGCTCTGCTAATTTGTCCAAGCGGGCACGCTCTCGAACCTTGGTCTCCTCCTCCCGCTCCCTATCTCGGTCGCGGTCGCGGTTTCGCCGCTCCGAATCTCGTTCCCGGTCTCTGTCTCGGGAATATCGGTCCCTGTCTCGGTCCCTATGATCTCGGTCTCTGTCTCTGTCTCTGTCTCTGTCTCTGTCTCGGTCCCGGTCCCGGTCTCGGTCGGAATTGGCGGTGGCTGTGGGTGGTGCGGCGTCTGAGGAAGGGCGGGAATGGGAGAGATTGGAGAGAACATGACTTTGACGGCGTTTCTGGTCTTCGGTTTCTTCTTGACGGCGTTGAAGGGCTAACTGCTCGCGTTGGGCTTTCGTCAAGAAAACGGGTTTTTTGGGCGGCAACGAGGAGGAGGAGGGTGCTACGGGAATGCTATCTGCTGAGCGTTTCATTGTGTGAGAAAAACGGTAGAGATAGTGGAAGGAAGGGAAGGGGATTTTGAGTCGCAGGGTTAAGGGTTTGGTGGAGGACGAGGAGGGGAAATTTGCGAATAAAACTATTTGGGGAAAAAACTATTTTGACATGAAATTAAAAAGATGTTTACTTTTGAAATTGACAATTTGTTGGTACGAGAGAATATTTGAGGGAATTGAATTTGAGATTGAGAGTGTGTTTTTCCATCTCAATAAGCTTTTATTTATAGAGAACTAGGTGAAGTTTCCTAGTTATATATGGATTATAACTTAGGCCCTCAAATCTCCTAATTGTACAAGGAAAGGATATTGTTTTTTTCCCAATAAAAGAAGGGAGCTAATATTGTTTTTCAACAGTAATTTCTTTTTTAATATAAGCGATAATTTAAAGTACAAGGAGAAGGAGTTTCTCACATATAATACTAAATCCTGATGGGAAATTGAATCTCATTGGCTCCCACCGACAATGATTTCTAATCAAGAAGCTTGGAGCAACTTAACCATTAATTTTAACAAAACCAAAGAAAAAAAATTGAAATAATTACCTTCAGCTGGTGGAATCCATCCATATTCATTGGAAGTTTTATTTTTCCAATGTTTTATTTTAATTTTGTTAACATTCCAAAACTCACCCAAGAAACTTATGAAATGTAAAATTGCTTTATTAACTTGGGGGACTTATTATTTAAAAACTAATTTATTCTTTTTATAATAAAAAATTTCAAACATCTTGTAAAATCTTTTTCCAAAAAGAAAGGATAAACTATGTTCCAAATTTATTAATAAAGCGAGCATTCCAAGAGTATAATAACTCTAGCATTATTTGATTATTTCATTCGTGCTTAGAGTACTCGCAGTTCATTTTAATTCAGTTTAATAGTTTAATTTATTGAACTTTTTTGGCAGTAATGTTGACCAAAAATTATAAATAAATAAAAAAACAATATGCGTAGTTTATATTTTTCATGCAATAGGGGCCCATAAAGTTAGACCCAATGCCATCCCAAAAGAAAGCCGCTTGGGCCAGACTCAAAGAATTTAACCCAAGTCTTGTTAATAATACAACCCAAAAGGGTCGCTATTATGTAGCTAAAGCTTTTTCTATGGAATATTTGAGAAGCATGATATCATATTCACTTGTCACCAATGAGACATAATATATCATTCACTTGCCACCAATGAGACAGGAGGAGTATTTGCACGAAAACATTTTGAAGCTCAAATTAGTGAGTGTTCTTGAGGGTTATAGTAGAATATGAATTGTTGTCATACCTTTCACTATATGCTTGTTGGTAAGTTAGTTGACACTATATAGACAATGAAGTCCTCGGCTTTAAGTCCCACGTTCGTGTTTCTCTCACATAATCGACAATCATTCCATCGTTAGTATCATAGTGGATAATCATGTACGCCTTATTATGTGACATGAAACACAATTGCCTTTAAACTCTTTTTTTTGGTAAATACCACGAGGTGTCCCCACATCCGAAGGGTGAGATTAATCCCCGCTCGGGATTTGACTTGCCCTTGGCTATAAAGTGCTTCTAACGGGTTTCGAACCCCTGCCATTGAGGCACCAGGTAACTCGCCAATTGAATGTGGCAATTTGCCAACTGCACCATACCTTATGGTTTAATTGCCTTCAGACTTTAGTCATGGGGTACATGACATGTTTGACATGTTTTCCTTGACAAGTCTAATGATTTCATTCATGTGTCATGTGACCACGGACAAAAAATGAAAAAACCAATTTGGAAATGTTTACAACTTCAAATCTGTTCCAAAAATTCATAAGTACGCATCTCATATGTAAACAGGGAATCTAGCACAAACAAAGCCTATAAACATTTAACTTTTGCAACACAAATTTAGACAAGAAAAAGAAAATAAAGGGAAACTTTAGCCCTCGATTGATAGTTACAAAAAGAGATGATCACTGCTTTAATCTAATGTGTGTTCATGACAAACATTCATCGTGGGAATGCCTTTTATTCATCCAATCGAATTTTTGCTACAATCCCATCCCCATCAACTAATAATGCACTCTTATATCACTTCCTCCTTGCTTTCTTGTTTCTGTTCACTTTCTTCGCTTTTCCTGTCTTCTTTGTCCTTTCCCCACAAAACGCTATACAGACCCACAACAAGCAATACGCCTCCACCAATACTGCAACAAATCAACCAAGACAAGTCTAGTAATTTTGATTTTGTTAAGAATACTTCTTGTGATATTCATTCGTTACCTATCATAATTAGATCTCCGTTTTTATTTTGACCCTTTTGCGCACATCTCATTAAACTGTGAATATCCAAGTCAGTTTATGAAATAGAACACAAAATGATCTTAACACTTTTACATATGTGCACGTAAATCGGTGGAAATTAAAAATCCGACTAAAATTGGTAACATATGAAGACCACAAAGGCCTTCCTAGAAAGATTGTTGTGATTTTAAAGCTTTACTCATGTCTATCTCTCAGCAACAACAATAATCAAAAGCAGTGAAAAGTTTGAATGATAGGCAAAAGGTAACGGACCTTCCCCAGTGAAGGGCTTCTTTCCACATGATTGCTGAGAAGATCGCTGTTATAATCAGTGCTAAAGGAGTGAACATCGCTGTGAAAACTGGGCCTTTCTTCTCTATGGCCCAAACTTGCAGCCAGTAGGTAATTCCAGTCACAATTACACCCTGCAACATCTCCCATCATCATGAGACACTACTTATCTATATCTATATCTATATCTATATCTGTACTATTATTAAGAAAATATCCAGACAGTATAAATTTCAATCATGTCATTCTTCACATTAAATGAGGGCCTTTTTGGTAACTATTTTATTTTTAATTTTTAATTTTTATGTTGTAAAGAAAAAATATCTCTTTTTGAACGGGACCTCCAAATCCAAAATCCAAAATCCAAATCCAAAATCCAAAATCCAAAATCCAAAATCCAAAATACCAAAGCAATATATTGAATAAATCATACCACGCCCACTTCCGAGTTTCTACTTTTTTTTTCTATTCCAACTTCTACAACTTCCATTTTAACTTCTCTATGGTGTTTTTCTAGTTTCTATTTTGCATAGACATGTTACATGTGCATGTGGAAAAAATTTATATACATATAAACAAGAACTAGCTGTCAATATTTGATCTCAGAATCACTTAGATGATGACCATTGTGTATATATCAATAAGTCAAAAGATGAGCCTATCTCTTTGGAGGGAATATGAACCATATAAATTTACCCAAGCAAATTTCCAAATTGTACCTTCGATAGCTTAATTACCAATCTACCCAACATTATACAAGTGGCTTAGTTAGAACTTAAACAGAAATTCATAATTTGTTTTGCGTATAGATGGAAGTGTTTGCCCGAAAAAAATCTTATGTACAATATGGGTGCGTACAACGTCCTTTTCACAATAATTTCTGTATGTTTATCATGTGATAGCTTAGTACGAGAGACATAAGTTATACATACTCGTTGTATTTGTAGTTTTTTTTTCTTGTTGGGTGGATAAAAATGACTTACACAATAGAAAACAGAGAGAAGATGAATGTCCCATCCAATCTTCCAAGCTGATGGGTTTCTCTCAATTGCAATGGCCAAAAATGATGATTGGATGCAGCTAAAGAAGCATTGCAGATTGGTAAGCCTCAACTTTGCCGGATATTGCTTGACAATGGGACCCTAGAAAAGAAGCACTAGCTAGTTCAACAAGGGCAATATAAAAAAAAAATTTCTACAAAAGAAAATAAATTATTCCAGCTTAATTAAACTGTTTAAAATAATATAATAATAAAAACAGTGCTAATGATTAATGATGTGAACCTGCAAAATTAGCCACAAAGACCAGGCAGTATTGGCTGAAATCATGAACAAGGATCCTTTTATCCAGTCCCCTCTGGAGGAAGATGATGAGTCTGAAATTTGTGTCTGATGATGTGATGGATACCAATTCATGAACTTTATGGAAGGCCCCTTAACTAAAGCAAACACCAATGCCCCTGAAAGGCTTGTGAGAGAACCCAACACCTTGGCTACACCATACAAATGTTTCATAGAAATGCTTTCCATTCTGCCCAAAAATTTCAAAACCATTTGTGTTTCAATGACATAAAAAGAAGAAGCACTTGGTCCATGTAATTAGCTAAATATCATAGTTAATTATTAATTAATTACCTTAACAAAACCGCCATGACAAAGGTAATTGCTGGAATTGTTGTGGTGGTGGCTGCTGCAAACGTTGCAGAGGTGTAGTTTATTGCAACATAGTACAGATTTAAACTCAGGGTAATCCTGGAAAAATTATTATGTATGTTAGAGAATTTAATTGAAATATTGTTGATGAGGAGAGAGAGCATAGCCAAGTTCATACCCAGATAAGGAAATGAAGAAAATCTTGCAGAGTAAGGTGTAGGAAAGAGGAGCGTCTTTCGAACTGAAAATTCAGAAGACAAATTAAACAACCACTGAAAAGTCTAGAGAGATGTATGCCACAAATGGAAGCTTATGAACTAACCTTTCAAAGAAGAAAGCAAATGGAGCTAAGGCGAGGGAAGCGAAAGCTTGACGATAAACCACAAACACATAAGGGTTCATTCCTTTGGCCATTGCTGCCTTAGAGAACAAGGCCATACCTGCATACACAAATTGTATGAAGAGCATGGCAATATAAGGCTTGTGCCTCTCCATTACCAAAGCACAACCAAGTAAACTCTTCATGTTGTGGTTTTATAATTTAGACGTTCATCTGTGGCATCTAATTTGAGGAACTCCATCTTCAATATATAGAGAACGGTTGCTCTCTTAACCTTAGCTTTGCACCAATTGGCTTTCACACACTGTCCCTACTGCTATTATTTTTTTATGTATACGAATACACATACGTGGAAACATTTTGTGGCAAGACTGACGTGTCATAATGTTAATTTGAACTTTTGTTTTTCTTAGCGACGGGAACTATGGTCCAGTGGCCTAAATAGACTTTTTAAAAATAAGTCATATTCACATCATAATATATGGCATATGTGTATATGATAGGACAACATTACCCTTTGGTGGCTCGACTTGAACTGGATTGGAGTTGAGTCCAAGTTAGTCCTTTATGTTAGGTGAGACTTATATCCTAAGATAGGGTTAATTACAGTTTAGTACCATGTTGTTATACCCTTAGAGCATTTCCATCCATTTGTCATGGTAAAAGGTAATGGGAGGCAAAAGTTGTTACTATTCACATGAATAGTGCATGCCCTAGCAATTTTTTTTGTTGGTTTTTCACCAATTGCCATGGCAACCCAAGAGCAACCACTATTCACATGAGATATGAGAAGAGGAATTTGTATAGAGTTTTGGTGTGGGAAGTGAAGAATATGGCCAGGTATTTATTTTTAAAAAATTCTGAAAATTCTGAAAATTTTAGTTTTTTTTTTCTCTCCTTTTTTTTATTAAAATTTTTTTGTTATTTAAATTAGCTGCTAACATAATCATTAGATTAGCTTGCCCAGGCAACAGCCCAGGCAAGTCTTGCCCAAGTTGGTGGAGCCCATCTCTTGCCCTGGCAAGAATGGGGCTCTAAAAACACGAATGGGGGCTTGGGGGGGCCTTTTGCTCAGGCTAGGGCCTCTTGTTGGAAGTGCTCTTAGGCCCTATTTGGTGGGCTGGACTGGATGAGACTTTTTCAATTAAAATGGACATGGGTCCAGTCTGTTGTTTGGTGGGCTTAATTGCATCACACACTGGCTTGGACTTAAATTTTTGTCTAGGATATGAATCCAGCATGCGAAATTCTATAGTGAGGGTGTCACATATCAACTTTTCATGTGGACCTTCATATTAGCCACAAGATCATTTTAGTAAACTTAAGTGAAGTTACTATTCAAATGAATCATGTGGCTAATAAGAAGGTCCAAATTTATAATCTATATATGGCACCCTCACCACAGAACGACTCATATGTTGGATATCAAAACTCACGTCGAGATATGGGTTTCAAAGCCTTTCTTCTTCGGCTACCTCTTGCCGAACTTGAAGTGTCCCTTGGCGTCGTCTCCCTCGCATCGTCTCCCTCAACCACTTCACATCGTCTCTGCTCTCTCTCCTCTACCCTCTCATCTCTCCTCTCTCTTCTTCTCTCCTATCTTTTTTTTTTCTTTCTGATTTTATTGTTAAATATTGAGTGTTGTGGTTTTTTGGATTTGATTTCTTTTGATATCTTTAAAAAGAAAAATTCATTCATCTTTCTGTTTCCCAGAATAGTCTAATTGCATTTATGGGTAATTTGGTTTCCCATCTAAGATTTGCATCATTCCTATTTCTTTTCTTTTTTTAAAATGTTTTTAGTTTGTATTTTCTTGGATCTAAAAGATGCTAAAGAAAAAAAAAAAAAAAAAAACACTGAGGCAAAAAGTTGGAATTGCATCTAATTATTGTTAGTCAAAATAATATAATAAAATTTGATTCATTAAAAAATAATAATTCCAGTCTGTTGTTTGGTACAAAAATGAATAGTACTGGACTCAAAGGCTAGCCAGTACAAGCCAGTCTAATCCAAAGCTTCAAAACCTATCCTAACTAGTCTAAGCAGCCCACCAAACACCTTAAGACATGTTAGTCCATACCTTTTTGATTTTTACAATTAGATACCCCGATCTTTTAAATTTGTTACAATGTGGTTCCACCGTTAGGGTTTTCGTCAGATCTCTCTGTTAGTTGCCTATGTGGCATTGTAACTTTATGTTTTTTTTAAATTGGTTAAAATATTATTTTTTTTGGGAAAAAATTGAAGAAAAAAAGAAGAAAAAAATATCCTCCCAAACCAGAGCCCCCTTCTGCAATTTCTTCTCCCCCATTCCCCATGACCACCACCCGCATCTACCCTCTAACCCCCTACCCCTAAACGAACCTAGAACCCCAGCTTGCAACCACCCAGACCACTCTCCCCCCTTCTCCCCCTTCCCCCCGATTTCTTATACCCCTGCCTTAACCCCAAACTCCAGTCCCCACCCACCAACAACAGTTCGCCGACCGCTCTCTCTCCATCCTCCAGACCTTGTTCCCACCATCAGCCCACGTTTTTCGATGAGATTTGACGGTATGCATCTCTCTCTCTCTCTCTACAAATTCAAAAACCAACAAATTGAAAAATAAATAAAATTGAACCTTGTTTGCATATGTGGGTGGGTTGCAAGTGGTGGGTTTAAGGTTGAGGGTTTATGGGTGAAAAACACAATGGGGTTCATGGGGGCTGTGGTTGAAGGCTAGGGTGGAGGGTGGATGTGGGATGGGTTTGGGGGTTGGAGCTTGCGGGTGGTTGTCATAGGGATGAGGATAGAAGAAATCGGCGAGATAGAGGGAGAGTGCAAAGATAGAGAGAGAGTTCTAGTTTTTTTTTAATTTTTTTTTTTAATTTTTTTTTTTTTATTCATATAAATTTTAAAATAAATGTGGGACCCACAATGTCACATCCCAGATCGGCTCCGCCGTAGCACTATATTGTTCGCTTTGGGCCCCCATCTCTGCCCTCACGGTTTTGTTTCTAGGAATTCACGAGCAACTTCTAAGTGGGTCACCCATCCTGGGATTGCTCTAGCCTCAACTCGCTTAACTTCGGAGTTCCCATGACTCTGAAGCTAGTGAGCTCCCAAAAGGACTTGTGCTAGATGGAGGTGGGCATGTACATATAAGGCACATCACCCCCTCTCCTTTGGTCGATGTGGGATCTTACAATCCACCCCCCTTAGGGGCCCGACGTTCTCGTCGGCACACTCGCGCCACACGGTGGAGTGGCTCTGATACCAAATTGTCACATCCCGGATCGGCTCCGCCGTAGCACAATATTGTCCCATTTGGGCCCTCCTCTCTGCCCTCATAGTTTTGTTTATGGGAACTCACGAGCAACTTCTCAGTGGATCACCCATCCTGAGATTGCTCTAGCCTCAACTCGCTTAACTTTGGAGTTCCCATGACTCCGAAGCTAGTGAGCTCCCAAAAGGCCTCGTGCTAGATGGAGGTGGGCATGTACATATAAGGCACATCACCCCCTCTCTGTTAGTCGATGTGGGATCTTACACACAGTGCCACGTAGGCAATTAATAGAGAGATCTGACGAAAACCCTATCGACGGAACCACATTGTAACAAGTTTAAAAGATTGGGGTGTCTAATTGTAAAAATCGAAAAAGTAGGGACTAAGAGCATCTCCAACCGATGTGTCAAAAGTGCCACATAGACATTTAACGGCTAGAAATAACATCTCACATCACTCCAACCAATGTGTCAAAGCTTTTGTGGAATGAAGGCTGGAGGTTGAGATGTTATTTTTGACATCCCAAAAGCAAGATGTCAAATGAATATTTTATTTTATTTTCAGCTTTTGTGGAATGAAGGCTGGAGGTTGAGATGTTATTTTTGACATCCCAAAAGCAAGATGTCAAATGAATATTTTATTTTTTTTTCTTTTTTTTTTCGTTTTAATTAAAAATAAATCAACACTAAAATGTAATAAAATAATAATTTAATTTGACATATCGGGTGGAGTGCAAAGCTGTGTAAGACGTCAAATTGCCACATCAGCCATCAAATTTAAATTTGATGTTGGTATTTGACATCTCCCTTGGAGATACTCTAACATGTCTTAAGGGTGTAACCACATGGTATTAAACTGTAAGTAACCCTACAAGATACAATATGTTGGACTATTTCCATTTTAATAAGTCCAGTTCCAACGCACCAAACAACGGCTAAGACTCTTGTCCATTTGAATTGAAATAGTCTAGTCCAGTCCAACCCACCCACCAAACATATATGTGATGAATTTTCAAATACATGCTAGTACGTAATTAAATGAGCACTTTGTTTTAGTTTTGGTATATTTTTTCTATGGATGATCATTGACGGAGCCGTAAAATATAGAACCGTTTGGATTATTAAACTTCATTGTGAGGCATTCCTAAAGAGGTGGTTTTTGTCATATTAAGTTACATATAGTATGGCAAAGGGCTTGAAGTTTACATAGTTAAGAGCAGTTATCCATGTACTCAAGATCTTGTATTCGAATCCACCAATACTAGTTGTATTGAAAGAAAAAGGTTACACATGGTGTGTATTAGGAAATTCTTGCCCTTGCTCTCTATGTATGTAGTTATAAAATGTATTAAATAAAAATCTCTCTCAACTGTTTCTTTCTAAGCGGCATTGTGTGTTTCCAAACTCTCTCTCTCTCCCATTCCTCATCTTCTCGATTGAGGATTTTAATTTGGGGAGGTTATTTATGCCTAGATTTATTTTGGATCATGGTTTTTTTTTATACCCAAATCTGCTTGGATCTGTAGTTTTGGTGGTTAGATCTTTTTTGGCTCTTGGCTGCAATCTCAATGGTGTTCTCTATTTCCAAGGCCGCAACGAAGATTGTGGTGGCAGAGGCAGAAGTAGTGATAATGGCTTTGTTGGCTTTTGGTTGCTGTGTGTTTGCTGATTCCATGTTTTGTAATAATTGCATCAACTTCTTGTGAGTTGGGTGTTTGATTGTTCTAATCTTTACTTGGTTTTTATACTTGTGAGAGTTTAAGTTGTATTGGTAGATTTGGGTGTTGCGATTCATGTCTAGTTTGTTCAAGAATACGACTTTTACGCTGAAATTTCTCTAGCCTTATGTGGCCTGTATCTGGAATAGCCATGTGTGGTTACTATGCTTCCATATTTGTATTACCCCTTTATGGGTATTTGTATTTGCCCTAGTGGCTCTTTGTGCCTAATTTATGAATACAATTATCTCTTTTCTTAAATATATATATGTGTGTGTTTGTGTGTGTGTGTGTGTGTGTGTGTGTTAAATTATTCATAGCTTGTATAGTTTAGGGCTAACTGCATAAAATTCCTAAACTTTGGGGGTAATTACAAATTGGTACTCGATCTTTGAAGGCCCTACAAACTCATATCCAAACTAACGAAAACCCTACATGTAAGCCCCTCCGTCAGCAAGAGCATTCGCTATTCTTTTAAATGATTACGTGATAGAAGTACACTGATAATAACAACTCCACATGGGTTAGAAAACTAATACAAAATTTTAAAACAAAATTTATAAAATAGTATAACAATTGGAAAATGTAAAGAACTGACTTGTCACCCACCCTCCTCGTCACCCCACCCTCCTTGTCACCCCACCCCACGCACCCACCCTAAGCCGCAACCAACACCCCACTTGCACCCCTCCCTCGACACCTACCTGCAACCAATGAACAAAATATCGATAATTTCGCCGAAATATCGGCGAAATTATCGTTTTTTGGGGGCAGCGATATTTTCACATGATTCCATTCATTTATCGTCAATTTATCGATAATTTCCTCGATAATATCGCGATAATTTCGGTTGCGATATTTTCATTCTAATAACAGCTGCAAATGGTCAATATATCGCGATATTATCGATAATATCGATAATATCGCGATATGAACTTTCAAGATGATCAAATTGCAAAAAAGAATCAGATACTCCAACTAACAATCCAGGAGAATCCACAATTCAGAAACCTAATTTTGAACAAAACCCAATGAACAGGATCCAAAAACTCAATCAAACCTTCTATGAAGTAAGTAGAAGAAGGCCAGCCTCTAATGGTGGTCATAGACATGGTCTCCTCCTCAATCAAAGGGTTGGCCAGCTTATCGACCAGCTGAGCTAGACCGGTGGATCTTGACCGGGGCGGTGGTAAAATAAACTTTTGTGTTAAAATAATAGATGATTGACTAAATAAAATTTTTACAAAGTTTCATTAAAAATTTCCATGTTTTTATCACAATTTCCGTGCTTTTTATCTAATTTTTATCGATATCGATATTTTCCCGATATTTCCGTGTTTTTGAACCACCGATATTTCCGAAAACATCGATATTTAAGACCTTGCCTGCAACCAACCTATGGGAACCCACACCTCAACACCCCACCAGTGAACCATGTCCTGATGACCAAACAACACAACACTACCCATATGTTCTCTCTTATCTTGTTCGCTAATCTTTTAAATGATTGCGTGATAGAAATACACTAATAATAACAACTCCACATGGGTTAGAAAACTAATATAAAATTTTAAAACAAAATTTATAAAATAGTATAATAATTGGAAAATGTAAAAGAACTGACATATAAAATAGATAAAATAGTTTTTTGTCTAGTAATTTTCAGGAACTCTTTAGTAGTTTGCTGTGTTTTATTCTCTTTAGGAGACTTTATTTCTTTTTAGATTTCGATTTTCCATATGGATTTGCCATTTCTTCAGTTGTCCGGCTGATTGGTATTGTATGTTTGAGCAGGCGTGCTTTTAGTTTATGAATCAAGGATTGTAATCACTTTGTGGGTTGTGCGTGATTCTCTCCAGATCAATTCAACTTGTTGTTGCGTTTGATCACTGTAGAAGATTTATCCATATTTGGCACCATATAGTGGCTTTGTACTTGTTTATGTTTCTCTTATCAACAAAATATTTTCGCCTTTTATAAAAAAAAGAAAAGAAAAAGAAAAAGAAAATCTAAAATATAAATTCTATCCAAATTTCTTTGTCAAATATAGTCAAATGATATGTCATGCATAAGCGTTAATGCTGGTGTTAATATTGGAGCATGATCAACCAATATTCATGATCAATAATCATTATTAATTGTTGGTTCTTAAAAGATAATTACAACATTATTGGTATAACTAAGATAGGCTTGGACAACTCCCCTCATACGGCTTCAATGACTTGTTAAGCATCCCATCGACTTAGTGCTATTGAAAACCACTCAGACCAGCAAGGTCGTTGAGTGGATATGCACCAGACAAAATATCAGCAAACGAAAAATCCAATTGGTGGAAAATTCCAAAATTTTGTAAGAATTTCATGATACATCTCACCAGTTCATAAGCGAATGGTTCATCCTGTTTTTGGGCCGTCCTTTGTTGTGTCCTTGCTGTCGAAAAGAAAATATCTGACCTTTCCAATAATTGAAGATTTTATTTGGCAAAAAAGAAAAAGAAAAAAGAAGAAGACAAAAACCGGCCGGAAGATTTTAAACTAATATTGTTAATTTTGTAAAATGTAAATTTAAAAGAGGAGTTGATTTTTTGTTTTTGTTTTCGAGAAATTCTTGGATTGCATTCATAATTCAATCAAAAAAGTCACTACCACAAAAGGTCATTACAATAACGGAGCGATCCAACATCAAAATGAAGACAATTTGGTGCACCTCTACTAATGATCACGCAAGATCGAAGAAACTCTGATAGAGATCATCGCAACTAAAATTGCAAACTCATAACAACCAAAGAGAGATAAAGCTTGAAAAGAGTTATCGATTAAGTGGCTAAGATTGTTTTTTTTGTTTTTGTTTTTCCAGAACTGTTGTGAAATTTTATTCATAAATAAAAATGTTTACACCCTTTTCAACTGTTGGGAGCAGTACTCAGATAAAAGGCAAGCGATTCCATTCACAAGATATATCCATTTTAACCGCAAACTCATCCACCAAGTGAGCTTCGTTTTGTTTGTAAAATAAGAGACCCTACTGTCATCCCACAATCCATGAGAAGATTTATTGTGGGATATCACACATTGCGTTAGTTTCTTAGCCCATTTGGTTTATGGGAAAGGAAGCTTGGGGATGAGAAATCAATTGTTTTCCCATGTTTGGTAAGTCCAAACATGAAAAATGAAGCGACACCAGAAAATTTGTGTAGAATTTGCATCTCATCATATGATACAAATTTATTTAATTTTCTTCAAAACTTGTTGGAGTTTCATTGAGAAGGAAAATACATTTGATTCTCCCACCTTTCGAAAGAGATAAAAAAAATATAGATTTCGTCTTCATAAAAAGAGGAATTCGAGAAGGAATGTGCAATTAGACTAGTTCAAAACCAGGTAGGGGTGTCAAGTTATGGATTTGGTATTTTTATGAGAGCTAGTTAGCAGGAGCAACCTAGGCATACATATATCTCTAGATTTTGCTCTCGCAAATAGGGCTCTCGCAAATAGGGGACAATAGTATCTGTCATTGCCTTCCATTCAGATGCCATTTTTATTTATGGTTGGCTGGTGCTTAACCTAAGCCCAGTCTCTAATCATAGGGTATGCTTCCCCTTATGGCTACATCTGAGAATCAAAGGAACTGAAAAAGTACTTCTTTTCTTTCTTTTTCATAGTGTCATACGATCAGCCATATAAAAGTATAATTTATCAGGTACTGTATGAATATTTTTGGGAATTCTAAGAATATTAGCAAACCCGGGAGGTCGATACGAATTCAATGCAACTGACGATTCACTAATCCGAGTTAGTATGAATTTATCAACTTCTTGCGCATAAATAGCTGATGTTCCTACCTAGACGAGAAATTTTATAAAATGGTATACAACATGGTGTCAAGCTATGCACCACCTCTAGTGCCTACACCATTGCGGCACTAAGTTAGCTTCCTCTAGCTAGGCAAAGAGTGGGCTTAGGGGACGGACATACACGTGTGATAACACTTTCACGTGACATAGTATATATTATTGATAAGAGATAGCAAAACAATGTTATTCTCGTAAGTTTTTCTCCTCTTAAGGGTAGGAAACTCCAAGGACATTATTGGCCACCAAGCCAATAGCACACACGATTGTCACGGTTGAGGTACCTACGTGGTTTCCGCTATGCCATTTTGTATACTCGATATTAAGGGACATGTGTGGACCTTGTTGATGCTTAAGAGAACTCCGTGGTATACCATCAAATGGTGTGGGTGTGTGTAGAATTATTCTTAGGTTGGCGTCAAACCCTATTTAGTGGTAGAAGGCAAAATCTTGGAGAAAAAAAAAATCAACTCTGTGGATCAGCAGGGTTTTACATACTTTCCTGTATCAAATTTTGATCCCATTTTGCTTTGTAGTTCTTGCTTTGTAGTTCTTGGTGCTTTGTATTCTAATGGGAGGGGGAATTCTATTTGAAGGGGAGTGGACACCCACAAGGGGATTCGAACTGATGCCATGGGGTTTGCAAACAACGACCTCAACCACTGAGGTAAACATCCACTGGCTACAGCAATATTAATTTGCATGATTCGTCAAAAGACAGATCATGAACAATAATGATAGTTTGGCTTTGATAATCATGGCCAATACTGTAACTATCTCCAATACTTTCTTAATAGTATAAAACGTGACAAATAATATATACACTAACGATTCTTTCCACTTGCTATGCTCACATCTGTCCACTCGTTGCTTTGGTATGTTAATGCAGGTTGATTTTTTGTTTTCTGGCTGTTAGAAATATGAATGCTATATAATGGCCTAACATTGATCACGATGTGTGAATAATTAAAAGAATAAAAGGAAAAGGAAAACTGAGAGAGGAGAGAGAAAAAGAGGGAGATTTCAGTCTGCGCAAAAAAGGGACAGGAGAGAGAAGAAAGAAGAAAGACAAGGGCACATGATATAAAGCTTTTCGTAGCTTCCCATTCAGTTTGATATTTGTATAGTGGCCAAAGTTACCAAATGTTGTAGAGAATATCTTTCCCTTCTTTTCTAAAATTGAGATGAGCCATATGAATCTTATTTGAATAATTCGCAGTACAGAAGAACAACTTTTTTCCCTCTTCTTTTGGAGACAAAATCGTACACTTTTTTTTCTTCCCATTCAAGTATATAGCAAGGCAGGCAAGTGTGATATATTACAGTCACATCACAGGTAGTGGGTGTTGTACATAAACAATGCTTTTAACAAGGAGAGAGAGAGAGAGAGAGAGAGAGAGAGAGAGAGAGAGAGAGAGAGAGAGAGAGAGAGAGAGAGAGAGAGAGAGAGAGAGAGAGAGAGAGAGAGAGAGAGAGAGAGAGAGAGAGAGAGAGAGAGAGAGAGAGAGAGAGAGAGAGAGAGAGAGAGAGAGAGAGAGAGAGAGAGAGAGAGAGAGAGAGAGAGAGAGAGAGAGAGAGAGAGAGAGAGAGAGAGAGAGAGAGAGAGAGAGAGAGAGAGAGAGAGAGAGAGAGAGAGAGAGAGAGAGAGAGAGAGAGAGAGAGAGAGAGAGAGAGAGAGAGAGAGAGAGAGAGAGAGAGAGAGAGAGAGAGAGAGAGAGAGAGAGAGAGAGAGAGAGAGAGAGAGAGAGAGAGAGAGAGAGAGAGAGAGAGAGAGAGAGAGAGAGAGAGAGAGAGAGAGAGAGAGAGAGAGAGAGAGAGAGAGAGAGAGAGAGAGAGAGAGAGAGAGAGAGAGAGAGAGAGAGAGAGAGAGAGAGAGAGAGAGAGAGACTATAATCATGATCAAGTGATCATCTAAGGCTACTTGGAGCTGCCCATTCCTATTAAAGTGTGATGCATGATAAAATACATAAAGCTTGTCTATCATTGGATTTCTTTATGGATGCCCATTTCCTATCTACAAGATAATGCTTTATGTCTCACTTTTTCTTTATGGATGTTGTGAAACAGAGACCAGCTGATCGCACTACTAAACTTAACCACTTCGATTTAATACATTAGGTGAGATGAGGTCTAATAGACCCATTTAAGTGTGTGAATTTTAATTTAAAAAGGTCTCAGTTCAATTAGCAATGAATGACTCACTTTTAAGTAAATGGAAATCCTACCTAGATTCTAAAGTAGTTAATGAATTCCATTCATAGAAGTGGCTGAGAAAATAAATTCTTTGACTTACCTAATAATAAAAACAATATTGTAACAAAAAAAAATGTCATACAAAGATAGAGAAAAAAAAAAAAAAAGTTATGTCACTACACTTTCAAGTAATAAGATGATTTTAGTGTATGTTCTTAGACACACTGTGGAAGTTATATATATGCCTCTATCTACTACGTAAAACATAACTAAGATGATACCTTATGTTTTCAAATTTCCTATATATATATGAGAAATTTAATCATCCAGAGGATACCTTCTTACTATTCACAAAAAATGTTGGCATGTGGGCCCAATTATGAATGCAATTCAATAATCTGAAGCACTCAATTTTTAGGATCACATTCGAAAATCACCCTTACAAAAAATTAACGAGATCAGAAATAATGATTTAACTGTTAAGTTACAAATTTTTGTAATAAACAATCAAATGGTCAAACAATTTCAAGTTTTGAAGTTTTTTTTTTTTTTTACATGAATGATTCTTAAACGAGTTTCTAAAAATTAGATAGTTTGACTAATTGAGTCATATCTTGGAGTGAGCCCAACAATAGCATCGCTTTAAATACTATTCATAAAAAAGTATTTATGTGTACATGTTCTAAAAGTATAGTACATGGATCTATGTCTATACAGACATGCTAAAAGCCAGTCCCCGATATCTAATGTCTCTTTCTCACACAGATACGCATGTGTTCTTTATGCAAATACTAGTGATCAATAGCAATTGCCTATTTGAAGTGATTTGCAAACCCTACAACTCCACTAATACGTTATCTATTAAAATTGACCTTCGATATTAATTTCAATATATTGTGGACATCGCAATGCCAAGGTCATATCTTTGTTGAATGAAATGCGAGGTAGGGCTAGCTTTATTCTGTTTAAGAAAGAAGAGAACTCCATGTTGCCTACCTCCATCTCCATGGTGAACAACTTGGGAACTTCAAAATATAAAGATTCAAAGTAGGGTGCTAAAAAACTGTGAGATTTTAGGTATATCTGCCTTTAACTTTCGAGCATGCAGAAAACTTTTTCATTTGGAAGAAGAGAAACGCAACCAAAGTTTTACATGCACAAGGCAATTGAAAGCCGGAAAGGTATATAAAAAAAAGTAGTTGCTTTGGTCCTGCATAAAAGCTTTGATTGGAAGCCGCTCAGTTCACTATCCAAAAAAATTAAACTTTGTTTGCCTTTTTTGCTTTATTATGAAACATCGTTCGTTGGGGTGAAAGTAATCGGATACTCTCTTTTGGAGAAATTATACAATACTACGGTACTATCACACGGCACTTGCCAGGTGGTAGTACGCACCTATAAGACGATGACATATAGACAACAGCTCCAACAAAGATAACGTTTTGTTTTATATCAACGTTAACATCACCGTCCATGAAATGAAACTTCCCCATCTTTATCCATCACCAACGACTTCCATTTATGCAAGATTCATTTGACTCCTTGAGTAGTGGCTATGTTGGTGCTGGTGCCATCAGATTTTCATAAACCCTCTTAATTTCTTCTCCGTTTTTTTTTTATTGCATAAAATTTTAAGAAATTATTCTCTTCCCCCAGTTTGTTCTTGGGTGTTAGTAAAGGAAAACATTGAATTTCTTTTTCTTTCCAGGCAAATGGGGGTTAATCTTAGGATTTTTGCTTCGAATTTGTTCTTGAGTCCATCGTCTTTTGCAATTGCTTGGGTTGGTGTTTGTTAATGGGTAGGCTCAAACAATATGGGTTGCGATTTTATGGGTGTATAATTTAAAATCTAAAATAAATTTTGATCAATTTTTCGATGTTGAAAGATTCTTATAGTAGATTAATTTAAATCAAATTAAATTCGTAATCCCATGAATCTATTGAAGTATAGAAACCTAAGAACGAGATTGTACCCACAAAAAATTGATTTAGAACCTAATTCCAAATATGTCTTTACTAATTCAACAGAGATTAATTGCTTTCAATTTAACTAAAATAAACTAAATCAGTTAAGCATAAAAATAGAACGAAAAATTCAATGAGATAAAGCCCTAAGTCATAGATTCCACCACTAACAATCATAATTGTAGTTTATAATTGGGGTGGGCTAAATTTACCAACGTACAAACCCTAGAAAGAAAAAAGAAAACTTGAGAATTTCATTAATAACAAAAAAAAAAAAAAAAAAACCCATATTGAATAATATATAGAAGACAACATGTCAACAATTAATTAATTCATCGAATCCCTAATTGATAATTCATTATTCATATAAGCAAAAACAACAAATCAATTGGAAATCCTATTTGATAATGCAATCAAGCAAGAACACCAAAATTAATAGTAAATCCTAAATCCTAATTCCTAATACTCAATTGCAAATCCCCAATTTTTTGATAAACTTGCAAATCCCTAATTGATACTTCATAAACCCTAAAAAATCCCCAAATTTCAATAACAACAGATTGAGGGAAGAAAAGAAGATGAAGACAACAACAAAGAAGATGCTGATGAATCCCCAATATATATATATATATATTCTTTTTCTTGGACCTCGAGGAATTCCATTGAACAACCAAAACATGCCAGCCAAAGCAAACAACAACATCAACAACAAAAATGAATTTCCATGGGTAAGCTGCTGCCTGTGAGTATCCAAACAAATTTTCAATCCGGTAAGCGTTGCTCAAGTTCCTGTGGCTTTCCTACTCTCACGAAGGATGAGAAACATGCTGTGAAAGTTTGATACCTGATGGGTATATCTATATATATAAAGCAAAAGGCAGAGAAAGGTGAAACATTCAAAATACCAGAAAATGCCCTTGGTTAATGCAAACATTAAGAATTGGAATTATTAATTAAATGAGGATAATATGGTAAATTCACATTTTTCATATTTAAAAAATAATAATAATAAAAGAAAAATCAGATAATGGATCCTATTTTTATGGAACACAACCACCCATTATCTTTTTTAATTCTAAAATAAATTTAATTTTTTTTAGGGTATATCTATATATATAAAGCAAAAGGCAGAGAAAGGTGAAACATTCAAAATACCAGAAAATGCCCTTGGTTAATGCAAACATTAAGAATTGGAATTATTAATTAAATGAGGATAATATGGTAAATTCACATTTTTCATATTTTAAAAAAAAAAAATTAAAAGAAAAATCAGATAATAGATCCTATTTTTATGGAACACAACCACCCATTATCTTTTTTAATTCTAAAATAAATTTAATTTTTTTTTAAAAAAGCCTCTCACAAGTGCAGAAGGCGTGCAGAGAGGCTAGTTTTATATTATATATTTAACCCCATTCTTAGTATATTTTGGTTAATATTTTGGAAAAATTTTGATACTTTGAATTATATTTCCAATATAGGACTTTCGACTTCCTCTGGAACAAAACATAATCAAATGGACGAATTTTGGAGTAATTCTAGTTGGATGACGTTCGTGAGTCACTTAGCTTGATCGTATCAAAATTTCAGATTTTTCTACTAAGCGGTTATTTTCTGGCAATAAAATAAAGGAGCAGTGCGCGGTGCTGGAATAGTGACATTTTGGGCTTTTATTGCGTTTTTGGAGCCCAAGATGACCTCAGATGGGTTCGTGGCCTTCTGGAGAAGTGTTCAGAACGTTTGTATCTTTAAAACAAGCTATCTTGGGCCTGATTTGGAGGAAATTTGAGGCCAAAACGTGGCTGAGCAGATTGTGGGCAGATTCTCCTAATCCAATTTGGACTTTATGTCATGTTATTATTTTATTTTATTTAGTTTCCTTGCGGAGATAGAAAAGCTGGACGTGGGCAGGTTGTTTGTAGGGGGTATTTAAGTTGGTTCTCACGGCAATTTTGAGGGACTTTTTTTTGGCTTTTGAATGTGACATTGTGGAGAGCAAAATTGCTAGGATTTTGCAACTTTAAGGTGTTTTCATTCTTTTTCTTCTTAATAATATTTTCCATGAATTCAGTTATGAATATGCATAACTAATTCTCTTTTGCTAGGGTGAAACCTTGAACCTTAGCATGAATATGTAATTTTTATTTAATTGCTTATGATTGAT